TATTCCTGAACATCCAATGCCCACTAACAAAGACAATATAATTTGCAAAGGTGGTCATTTGAATGCATGGATTAGAAATGGCAAGTTGAGTGATTGAAGGTGGGTATACAGGAGTCATGAAGGTTAAACGACGACTTTTACTCGGCCACAGCTGACATTCTTTAACGCGCAGACACTTCCAAGGTCAATCGTAGTCTGTTGAATTCCGAGAATATAATGACGGACTTTTGCGGTGTCATCAAGTCTTTACACGAGAAACAGGTTTGGACCTGCAGCCAAAGCGCAGTGAAGCCAGTAAACCTGCAGTGAGAGCAACCTGGGCATTGTTCCTTACAGACTCGGTTTGACTCATGCTCACATGCAACTTGACCCCCGAAGCAGAAAGTGGGCTTTGGCATTAGTCAGTGTAGAAATTACTTCCGTCTGAATTAGACAAGCTACGTGGCTACTCCTAGTGGTTTCCATTCCGTGTGCATCAGTTAAACAACGTATGCAAGCAGGGACAATTTTAAAAACATGAATGGCTAAAGCAGCTTCTAGTTGATTTTACTTTGCACGATGTTTGCACGTAAAATAACAAAGTTGATAAACGCACAGTATTGGACAAATAACACCCACTACCGCAAGTGTTGCGTTCAAAGTCGTAATGTGGTACGCTCACGGCTTGTTCAACAAGCACTCACAAACAAATTGGCCTTTAGCAGTACAACCTCATCACCACTATTTCAGGGCTGTTAAATTCCCGTTTGACGTAACAATCTGAATGATTTAGATCCCATTGACTTGACTAGATTCACACGGACGGATCCAAGAAAATACACTAAATCTACGCTCCATTCTGGATAGATCAATTGTTTGCGTCGGCAACAAGGGTGGCGGCGTCACTGAGCTTCAAGATCTGTAACAAGGGGGTAGGCGAGCCAAGACAGGAAACTTTGTTGTCGTCCAGGCAAAGAGTCCGAAGAATGCCAGGCTGCTGATGTTGACCTCGTAGCGTGTCATGACATTAAAGGCAAAGGTTGAGGGGACTCGGGTAGTAAAATAAAAGTTTTGCGTGCCGTAAAGCGTTTTGTTTAATAGGCCAAGAATGCTAAGAGTTAAAATCAACTGCAAGACAGCTAATTCATTTTGTTTAAATTGATTGCTTACCCAATATTTGCAGTAGACTTTGGAATGAAAATCACCAACAAAGTCTACCGGTGGTTTCATAACACTGCTGTTGACCAAGAATATGTGTGTTACGCCTTGAGTAAAAAAAATAAATTGACCTAAATTGGAGTAACCAAGATAGCACCTTTTCCATTCATGTCAAATTCACAGCGATGGGCTAGTACGAATTCGAAAATTGGCTTTACCGTTTTCTAGTTAGTAGCCAAGAAACAGGCACTCTACATAAAATCACGCATTTCCCTTAACTGCTTCTAACCATTTGTATGCTCATTGATGAGCCTAAAGATTGATTCTATCTGTCCATGGAATGCATTTTGGCATATTTCAGCAATTGTATCACTGTCCAGCCTACCGATACAACTGCCTGCACCTTCCTAACAAATACTGAAACAGCTGCCTGAGGTTAACTGTTCAAAGTTTGTCTGATTTAAGGACGCTATAGAAGCATGGCTATCATGGCCTGCGAAAAGAAAGGTTGTGGTTAGCAAGGTGTCAATCATCGTCAATGTCCTTCTGCACTAAGCACTGAATCCTGTGGATTAGGATGTTGTAAAGACAATTGTTTCCTTTTCGAAGAAAACGGTTGCTCGTGTCTACGGGATTTCGAATACACCTTGATTTCAGTAAATTAAACCCAGCTTAATATTGTGCACTCGAAAAATATTGGAACAATAGCAAACAATTGTCACATTAAGATTACAAACACATTTGACTACAACAACAGTGCATAGGTCATGTCACTTGTGCGCAGCCATTCAATTGAAATTTCTTTGATGACCCTTCATTTTGGTGGAAATTGAAACGAGTACTATCTGCGTAATTTCCTGAACCGATTTAATTACAAAAATTATGCAAATTAAACAACAGATGTGTCAACAATCAAGCAGCGTTGAAGTACTAGCATAAGAGAAGACAGGAACGAAATGCTGAAGCAATTGTCGCAGAAGAGGTCGTGGGAACTGTGGTCGATGGTTCCTTGAATTGATTCCGGTAACAGGCAAATCCATTGTGGCATTTCGAGCAGCTTTGGCCCTTCTCATATGGCCTGTCTTGTGGATCGAATTCGCTGTAACAATTTGATTTCAAGACAACATTATGGCTGAATTCATATGAAGATGACAAAGCAATTTAGAGAATGCAACTTATGCATGGCGTGCTGCTTCTTTGCTTGAAGTGCTTGACAAGTGTTTTTTTTCATAATATTTTAATTTGTTATTGAATGCGTGTACAACTATCTACTTATCACAAATCCTAAATGTGCTGCTTTACCCTAGTTTGTATATGCACACAGTGAAGACACCTTTGCCGTCTTGACATGCTTCAGTGGTACATCCTACTGCAGTCGTTTGCGATCGCATCATCTAAAACGGAATGTACAGGTAGGTAAATGACTTGCAGAATATCTGCATAGAAAGAGTCGTAGGCAATTGCTTTCTTTGTTGATTAAAGCATTTTGCCTAGCCCTAATGCACATGACTACGAAAATGATGCTTCTGCCATTCTGCGTACAATGTCTTCGTACGTTTGCCACGTCAATTGATCCTAACTCCACAAAACCACCTAAATCATATATATTTAGTTGATTGCTAATGAATTTGTCTAACGTGTAACATTCTCCCCTGACTGCTCAATACTTATGCAAATAAATAATTTTAACAACTCCTGTTTCATTTGTCATGCCAAACATGTGCATCTGAAAGAGGTTGTCTCTCTTCCAATTTGAAAAAAAGACGTGTTTAAAAAGTCACTTACCGTTTTAGAATCCAGGCAGTACCCTGTACACATGTTTGTGTCATAGCTGTACGCCGGTTTTTCTAGCTCGTAAATTGCATTGAGGTTATCAACAATAGACTTGTTTTCTCTATTATCAGAATTTGCAATAATTCCACAGCCTTGAAATTGAGTATGGACGCTGGGATCTACACCTGAACCAGCACAGCGCAGTTCTGCAGCCTGCTTTGCCAAATTCTCCAGTTCGAGTGAATAATGCTGCAACAAAATGATAAAAATGCCGTGAACGCTCGAATAACAGGCTTCTAGCTTTTCTGTGAGTTTTTTGGCTTCTCGTAGAGCTACAAGTGTGCCTTTATTGTGTTTTGTTCCGACACGTTAGCATACAACAATGCTAGTGAAAGAAACGTAAGTTGATGCTTATACCTCAATATAATCGGTGGCATGGCACAACTGAATCGGCATGAAATGCATTTACCAGGGCACAGTTTTAGTTTCATCAAGTGGTGCATTTTGAATTCATACGCTTACCATCAGCTGCATGTTGCTGGCAGGAGGGTTGACGGTTTCGTGGATGCAAGTGTGAAATTCCACAATTTCCTCACGCTCCTTATCCGTCGGCGATTCTGCCATCACCAACCAAATGAAAGCCGAAATAGCAATGAGGAGCTGCATGACGATTCAAATCGGTGTTGTCTCAATGCGAGATATGCAATGCATTAGTGATTTGTTATAACCCCATTTATACGCATT